AAAAAAAAAAAAAAAAAACCGCCGTTTATTTATTTTTTTTTTTTTCCAGAAAATTTGGAACGAATTTAACGGTCCTATTAAGAGGCGCCCGTCATTAGGCGGCGCATTACGGGCAGGTGTATAAATGTACACGTGTGCGTATCATACCTGTCGCGTGTGTGGCGGTGTGGTATATTATTACAATGTCGGGCGCTCGTAACACAACACGCGTACGGATATTTGCATTATGGCGCGCGCGGCCGGCGGACGCGGTTGTCCCGTTGACGGTTAGGAAAAAAAAAAAAAAAAAAGCGGAAGAAAACAACGGAAAGAGAAACCGGACGATTTATCCGGTCCGCGAGATCGTCGCCGCGGCGCGCGCGACGGGGAAAAGAACGCGCGGCCGTCCGGCGGGTTGTTTTTTTCCAATTATTCGCCGACGACGCGTCGCCGTATTTGCGCGGTGACCGACCACCGACCGTGTCGCCCGTAACCGATAACGAGGCGTCCGGCGCGCCGCCGGGTAATCAATCGGCCGGAGCTCGCGTACAACAACCGTCCGTCGCGCGCACACCCAACGCCACCCCCCCCTACGTTCACGCGCGGGCACGCGGTGTTCGTGTTCCGTGCGGCGTTACGCACGCCGGGACCGTTGTCGATAGTCGCAACGTCCCGGTTTGCAGAGCGTGCGCCGTTATTGTATCGACGGGCGCGTCGAAGTCGTTCGGAAATCCGCGTTTCCGCGGCCGTGTCCGCGTGTTTCTTTCGTTTTTTTCTTATTTCGGGGCCGGGGCGGCGGTTGTCGTCGAATGCCCGGCGTTTTCCCGCCGGACACGCCGCGGCACACGTTACTAACCGTACCGCAGTGCGGTGGATTGCGGGCGACGTACCGACGCGAAACGAACGGCCGGGGCGGGGCGGCGAGGGTCTTCGCGAAAACGACCGAACACTGTGCAGCTGTACGTACCTCTCGTCTACTACGCCGATTTAGCAAACGAAAATTAGGCGCGCAAAAATATCGGCGCGGGCGTGTGCGTTTTTTCGTAGATTCGTCGTGCCACCGGGTACCGCGAGTGCATCGTCACGCGGTACGCCCCGTACCTCTACGTGCGCTGTACGCGCCGTGCGAGTTTTCAACATTGTCGTTGACGCGAAAGTAACTCTCTGTACCGTGCCGGCGGGCCGGGATCACGCCGAGTCCTCTACTCGACGATTTCGCCGGGTGCGCCCAATCACTTCGGGGACGCGTAGTTCGTTTTCGTATCGTTTTCCGGTTTTTCGGAAATATCGGTCGAGTATTCAATTTTCGTTAGGCGGTGAAGTTCGAATACGCGGAGGGCCGTTCGGAAGGTGAAAACGACCTCTCAAACGAGGAACTGCGCGATCACAACAAACCGTAAACCGGATTATCGGAGACGGCCAGTGTAATTCACGCCGAGCAATGCGTGCAGGAAGGCCGATAACGGGAAAATCACTGTAAACCAATCCGTGTAAGGCCGGAGAAAACCGCGCGAAAAAACACCCGTGCCGAATCCTATGCGTCCGAAATCCCGTAAACGGCCGGATTACGAGATAAAAGTATCCGACAATTGACGCGCGTAAAAACGGATCAAAAAAACACTATGAATAATAGCGATGACCGGTGCGGGTTAACACTTTTTCAAATTTCAAGTTTCATTTCACACTCGTTTATTGAACACGTAAATTTCTCTCGTACTCGTTATAATTGTAATGTAAATGCTCGAATTTGAATAACCGCGATTTCCATAAAACGCGCTTTATTGTTATTTTCAAATTTTTTCGCGCTTTTGAGTGACGTCGTTCGGGTCCTGATTCGCAGTCGTGGGCTACGGCCAGGGGCAGGTCAACCGCACGAATAACCGAAAAAACAACCGCGCGCTTCGTTATATTTCGTTAAAAAACCATGTTATAATCTATACCGAACGTGTTATTTATTTCTATACCGAACGTGTTATTTATTATATTTTAGTCGTCGTCGAGTAAAAAAAAAAAAAAAACGTCGAGTAAAAAAAAAAAAAAAACCACAGTATACCTATATAATATACCGTTGCAGTGTACGTTTTGACAATATTTCATTACGATATTATATGCATTATGAAGTGCGTGTTTGGCACGCGCCACGTCATTTTAATATTTATTTATTTAATTTTTTTTTTCCCACAACGTAACGCATTTCCTAGTTTTAATATATTTATATAGCGTATATAGGTATAATGTGCAGCGCGTTCGGCCCGAGGTGTGCGTAATATATATGCATACAGCTCATTACGTATGCGGTTTTTGAAAAAAAAAAAAATTTTTTTTTATATAATGTCGTCCCGTTAATTAACGAACGAACGCAAATAGGCGAAACAAAAACAAAAAAAAAAAAAAAAAAAAAAACATTTAAGGGGTTCGCGGACACAGAACGAACGATAAAAAAAAACCCGCCGATTGTGAACTAGATGTTCACCTTATTATTGTTATTATTATTATTTTCCTACCTATACGTTATTATTATATTCGTGTGTGTGTGTGTGTGTGTGTGTGTTTATCTATGTATACCTACGCATCGGTTGCCACATCGTCACGTCATCGCCGCCGCAGCGCCACGTCGGCGGTTGGTTAATTAGAGAAAAAATATACGCACACGAAAAATAATACGCGTTTGTCGAGGATAAAAACGCGTATTTTATACGCGCAGATGGAAGAAACGAGCCAAAAAAAAAAAAAAAAAAAAAAAAAAAAAAATTATATATATATAAAAACCGCTGCCCGTAACGTCGTTATATACGTGTATATACGCTCGTGTGTGTTTGTGTGTTTTTTTCCCATTTTATTAGGAAAAAACCTTTCAGCGGAACCCATCGAAACGATCGTTAATCAACCCGCTTTGACCGCGGGATCTAAAAGTCCATTAATTAGCGATTCAATACGACGACTACGCGGACATGTTATTTTTTTCTATTTTTTTTTTTTCCACAGTTTCTGACGCGTGTTGTTTTCGGGACGACGACGAAATCTATACGAGAGATAAAAAATAAATCAATTAAAAACCGTGAATCCTTTATACATCTTCACGAATAATACACGATCGGTTTTATTTTTTTTTTTTTTCTTACTCCACGAAATATAATCTCCGATGTATCATTATGAAGGGCAGGGGGGGAGGAGGAAGCGGTTTTCGAGGTTCGCGAAGACGACTGCAGCAAACGTGTTAATGAGAGGCCGGGGAGCACCGTTTTCTCGTCCGGCCGTAAATTATGTTATCAAGACCCACAATATACACGTACAGTATACCTGCCTATGCGCGTACCGTGTAATATCATAGAATATGTTATCTCCGCGGCCAATTATAATATTATATAAAAAAAAAAAAAAAAAAAAAGAGAAGGACAACCGATTCGTCCGCGGCCGCGCGCGCAGTCAGTAGTTCGTATGGGTATCCCGAACACAATGACGACGATAACACGCTTTTTTAATAGCATGGGCGTATTATTACAGGTACTCGGATACTCGTTACGAAATCGGTGTTTTTTCCTTATCGGTTTCTGTTTTTGTTTTTTTCCGTTTTTAAGTGCGCCGAGTGCTGTTTATAAACACAATATCAACATATCGGCGGTATACACGTTACGGTCCCCGTCGACGCTTTTTGCGTTGCCGTCACGCGGCCGACAAACAACGTCGTTTTGTTTCCGTCTGTACCGTCGCATAATGCATTTTCGTCTGTGCCCGAGAACCCACAGCCGACGCATATAACGCGTATGTTACGCTTACAGGAAACCTACTTTGAGCGCATTAGTTACCGGTTTTAAACACTTCGGTACGGTCCAATATCGGCAATGCGCGCCGATAAATTTACGCCGTAGCGTTGGACGAGCTCGGACAACTTTTGTCGGGAAAACGAGGATTCGCGTTTCGCAGAAAACGAATGGAGACATAAACGACACGTTGTTTTTGCGTGAAGTGTTGCTTTGTAGGGCTGCGAGACACGGGTCACTAACGAAATTGAAAAAGATCCCTCGGAACGTTTGAAATACGGTGTCGAAGACGGATGTGGGAAAAAAAACTCGGGACAGAAAAAGTAACAACGAATAAATTGTGAACGATCCCGAATCAAAGACACAATATACGACCACAATGAATGTCAGTGTTGGGCGACGATGGGATACGATGGGACACGCGATACGGTATGGACGGGGTGATAGATAATTGCACCGCGCTATAATAGAAAGTACGATAATTGACGGACAAAAACCACCGGAAAACCCGTAAAATTCAAACGTGTTTCAACTGAAAAAAATGCGGCGATAGACACTTACGCTTTGGATTAATGAGGTTTGCCGAAGTCCGAAGGACATTGTGAACCGGCCCAATAACCGTTGATAAAAAACATAAAAGCTTATAAATATATTTTACAGACTTGTGTACACTCGAGCCTTCTACGGCCAATGCCGATGTATAACACCTATAGGTCGTTAACATGAGGCGACGAGGTGAATTCGATCCGAAAAAAAATGTTTCGATGTATAGTTAAATAGAGTATATTGTTGGTCTTATCGTAGACCACGGAGAATACCGAGCCAAAACAGTGTAAAGAATTACATCTGCATGTTTTATATCGTAAGGCAAACGATAATTTTTTATCAAGAGTATAAAAAAGTGAAATGATCACGGTCTAGAAGCTGCCTCGGGCAAAGTTGGATACGTTGATCTTGACATATATGCGCTCTAAAGAACGAAAATTGAAGAGTGAGAATAAGAAATGACGACGCGAAATAGCGGACGCAGCAAAAGTTCAAAACGGACTGGAAAATCTACAGATGAAAAAAATACAAACAATAAATGTTATTATTATATTTACCCGCTATTACGGTGTTAAATACTATTGCAACTAGCATACTGATACAGTACGAATTGTTACATTTGGATTCGAGCGAAGCTTCTGCAGGCGTCAAAAAAATAGCGAATCATGGGTCACTTTTCGTCATGTAAATCGATCGTTGAATTATAAAGGCCATACGCTAAATGGTTACGAGCCGGTTTCGTTTAATAACTTTATGCATATTATATAATAATTATTATTACAACTGATCATAAATATTATTCCGTTTTTCTATCTATTCATTTGTTTGATTGTTATCGTTGATTTATTTATATTCATCTATATTGCATTATATTTTATAAGCCGTGCGCGAATTGAACGGGTAAACTGTGTCGTAAGGCAACTCATACAAAGAGCAATCGGCAATACTTATATATTAATAAAGTTGTTTGTACATAGTGATAATAATTAATATACGAGCGTATTAACCATTCCCCAATAGTTTTGTTTTTATTTTATTATTTCGTTATTTACGATATTATTTTTTACACAACGTGTAATTTCTAAGCAATTTCACACGCGGACATCTTACGAAAAGCAAACCGGCTGTTTGACAAAATTATTTACCGGCGGACAAAGACGACAATCTTTTGACAAGATCTTTAATGGATGCGAACGGAATGTCCGACAATGACAAACGTGTTAAATCAGATTCGAATGACAGCGGTCCGTCGACATTTCTTATTCGGACAAATCCGTTCAATAATAACATTTTAAATTATAGATGGCTACAAATTGAAAAAAGATAAAGCTGATACCGAGGATGGGAGCGGCCACTGTTGCAGGTGAGAAGTTGGGAAGGTAGGATATATAAGGTTATTTTATTTGTATCTGTAAGCAACGATAAACCATTGCCCGACGAAAGACGATTCCGAGTGCAGTTCAATAATATATAATTTTGAATGCCGTAGTTATTTTTGTGATTTTCGTTTAAATTTGATTTCAAAACGCTTATTAAAATAGAAGTCGTCCGACAATTTTGGGAATTTCGCCACGTCTAAATAAGTCCGATATAAGTACTATTGCTAAGTTTCAAGTATCTACGTGTGTTTATAATCAAATTATAGCAAAAAAAATCCCAAAAATTAAAATTCCTTAAAATTTCAAAAGTTTTGCCGATTATACCGTAAGAAAGTAAAAAAAAAATCTTGTGATTTTTCGGTTAAATCATTTTTTCTGGTAGAAACCGTCGTCCGTGTTTTATAAAATAATGAAACCGTGAAATTGTACGTTTTCCTACGTTTTTTCCCACTTAAGTACTTTTATTTAAAAAATAGCGCTGAAAATCGAAAAAATGGCATGTTAAAAATACAATCTAGACAACTTGAGTTTTCAGAAAAAATGCTACACGTAAAAATCGGAGCAAGTTTACTAGGAAAAAACGTGTCAACACAATAGAACAAAGAAAAAAAATTAAACACCTCTGTAAAACCAATAGCTCCCTCCCTACGCTCGGAATCTAAAAGAAAAATAAATGTACGTATAGGTATAAAACAAAACATACTTTTTCTATATTCCCAAGGGTAGATCGACATCGACCGTTCGTATGCAGATGCGCGAGAGGCATTTTTTAACCACGATAAACATATAGTAACAATGTTTTTAATTATTCGACTATAAATAAAAAAATAAAATAGTACCTTGTGGTACACGACCATATTATAATAATTGATTTGCACGAATGAAGTACACAAGAAACTCACTTTTCCTCGATTTTAGACGTATGATGACCGATCCATTTGGATTTCGTTCGAAAAACCATTGTTCAAGTATCTAAATATTACTATTCAAATGTAATATTTATAAATGTTTATTGCAACTAGAGCAGAATTATTGCTACAGTACGGAAGGCGAGAAACGGATTTGGTTCAAAGGCAAAACGGATTTATTATAAATTATAGAACGAAATGAACGAGTTATACACTACGATTGTAAACGAACTGTTTTTTCTTCTATACGTGTCGTTAAGCAACTGGCCAGATGATTGTTTATTTATTTATTAAATAAAAATTACTTTGTGCACGAATAGTTAATTTAATAACACTAGTTAATAATTGCATTATAATGTATCAATGCCTTGAGAACGTTGTATTTTACAATAGGTAGCTAAGATATTGGGTCCATGGTCAAACGGTTAGGTCACGTGATAAGGATAGGGAAAAAATCGAGACAAAAATAAGAGCAGCGATGGAACGGGGACCTCTAAAAGAAGAAAATCCGGGAAAAGTTGGATTTTCGTGGCGGCAGAAGATTTATAAAGTTTGGGTGATGAAAACAGGAGAGAGACGATTCATAATATTAAAGAAACAGGCAATCTGTAGTAATAACGATAAACACGTTTAAAGTGTATGGGTTAAAGCAATTATCGGTACATCTCAATGATCTTCACAAAGCGACTGAAATTTCGAGGGATCGTCTGGTTTTCAATTTCGATTTTGTTTGATAACGATAACGATACAAAATTTACTCTAGAAATTCGCGTTTGAAAATATAATAACGATTTCTGAAGGGGCAACGAAATTAACAACTAGGAGTTATTATCGGGGGAGACGTGACTGTAGGGTTTGAAAAAATAAGGTCATCAAAAGTCTAATATTACACGTCTTCTTTGATTTAAACAAGACAATAATTGATAATTGGCAGAGAGAGGTTTGTGGATATTAATGACAAGAAAATTATACAAATTTGTATAAAAACAGATCTACTCTTCTTGGATTCATAGCCATTTTTCATTCATCCCTCTAGCTGGGATACATTTCTATATAGACTGCCGGCATTTTCCAATCAATTTGATCCATTCTAACGAAGAAAATGTGTAGTTATTAAGTACGTAATTTTTGAACTTTAAATATACCTCTGAAGTAACCGTATGTTTCGCAAGTATGCGTAACCTAAACTACCAATTTATTATCGTTTTGGTTGAAATTTAATCAAAGATAATTAAATTAGTATTCGACACCGCAAATTTTGTTTCAAAATATTTATACACCGACTGTAAAAATATAAAAAAAAAAAAAGGCCAATGTAGGGGGATTTGAAATCCAGACCTCCCTCCCAGGATAACGCCACTGTGACGATTCGACGATGCGGTTTAATTTTCAGGTTATAGTAATATTGTCGTATCAGATTTATGGATTACACAACATTGTACAGTTTTCGATACGATACTGTTAATTACAGTATTAAAATGCATATCAAGTATAATAGCGTATATAGGTAACCCGTTAAACGATTATCTATAAACGTATCGGATAATATAATTGGTCGAAGACCGTTCGTTAAAAAGAGGAGAAGAGAGACGCGTCACATGTTGTGTTTAAACGTGCGTGTGTTATATATTATTTGTTTTAAACTATTACTACGTCGACGACGTTAAATCGTCAGTTTTTTTTTTTTTTTTACTATTTAATTGAACATTTCGATGCAAATGATTTTCAACAGGTAATACGATTTACATAATATTATTATACGCTATATCACGGTGTGTATTTTATATTACAGCGTCGCGATTAAAACCGAAAACGATTTCGATCTTCCTTCGTCGCGAGTGTCGCGTGAAATCCAATAAAAAAAAAAAATAATAATAATAATAATAAAAAATAAAAACGTTTATGGACACCGCGCGATGTGCACACGCATCCCGGGTGGCGCGTACATTTTATTATTATTATTATTATTATTTTTTATTTTTTTTTTTTATATATTTATATATAAAATTATTCAATATATTATAGTAAACCGATAATATGAGTATGGAATTACCATATACGTAAAAATAATATTATATATATATATATTATTATGTTGTACACTTGCGCGTTCAAGTCGAATCAGTGAATCCCCGCGGTTGTAACGCAAGACGAGGAGGAGGCGGCCGTAAACGGCGATAATAAATTATGCGGTTTATTATTGTTATTTTCACCGTGAAGCCAACGAAGTACACGGAAATCAAAGTATTGTGTATCGGTAACGCGTAGTACGACATTTTTTTCTACTTATATTAGTTTCTACGGGCCGCGTGCCATTCGATCGCGCATCCGCGGTCTTGGATAACACGATAAGATCCGACCGCTCTTGTGTCTGCGGTAGTCGTCCGCTTGCCGAAGAAGTTTCTGGTCGACATTTACCCGCGATGATCGTTGCGCATCTTATTTGATCGTATTTTCGGTTGTGTCGGTACGACGGTACAACAACACACAAACAAATAAAACAGGTTGTTGCAAGTTCAATTGCATAACCTCAAAAATACCGAGTGTACCGACGGCGCTTATAGTGATCGGAATTCCAACGAAATCTACCTCGACAGCGGAACCGGAAACGGATTAGAGTTACCGTGCCCTATCTCCAATAAGACTGCGATTCCGTCATTCTCGGTCGTTCCCTACTTTCATTCTCGCTGCTATAATGATTTTCGCTTGACGCATTTTTCGGAGTAATTAACTGTAGCGCTCGTAGGTACCATTGCACTTTTCTCGGTTCGCCAAATCTGCCCCGCCCTTTCCGACCTTCCGGACATACCACCAGGAATGTCTGAACACCTCTAGAAGTCTAGACACCCACGTTAGTTGCGTGTTATACGCGTGCCGCGACATCCGAATGTCCGTTGTTCGCCTACGTGAAAAAATTATGCGTTTTCGAAATTCGAAAACATTTCTGATCCACTATAAATGATACGATTGTTATCTTGCAAAAACTCCCGATGATGATTTTTGTCCGATATTGTCATACGGTTTTCGACGCATTA